TTATTTTCCGAGCAAAAAATAAAACTTAAAACGTAACCATTATTTTCTACCAAAAAATAAAACTCAGTTAATAACGATTAAAAAGTGATTTTTATAATAAAACTTATAACCGTTACGGTCCCTGATAAAAAGTGCACCGATGCATATACATATAACTCCGAAATTTTGCCCATATGTTTGTAATAATCAGGTAACGGATTTTATGAAAATTGCCTTTTTTCTGCTAAAGAGATACGAGTATATTCGATTAAGAATGTCCACGATTTATCTTTCTCTGATTCCATATATACACATCTGATGTTTCCTTTTTTAAGATTACTAACTTTAATTGTAAAGCCCTGTTTCTTTATAGTATGAAAGTTTTAAACGTTGAACATTTCAATTGGGTGTCACTGGTATCAACTCACGTCTATTTAGTACATTCAAGGCTTTTCTTCGCAAAAATCGAGTAAAAATACTGCCAGAAAACTTCAAAATGCATCTTGTGGTTCAATATTACTACAACTATAAGCAGCGGTGGCCAAAACCCACACTATATTTCAATCTTGCTAAACGATGAGAGAATGAAGAGAATAAGTCGGTCACGCGTCTGATGCAAACAGTGTTGTCAACGATTTCGAGTTGCAAATTATAAGAAAAAGGGATTTTTTTATTATGTTAATGGTGTGAAATGTAGAGATTATATTGAAGAATTAACATTTTAATTAATATACACTTGTGATCAGTTAATTAAGCCAGCAACATTTTGATAAATTTTGGCTATTTTTTTCTTTTGTTTATTTAATGTTTATTATTTTTCCATAAAAGTGTAGCTCATTATATAACAAACACCATATAAATCCAGATCTCAAACTTTGTGCAAAAATTATGAAAACTCTACAAAGTTTCAGCTAGATTTTGAACTTTTTATTCAGATTTTTTACATTATTTTAAATCCATCTTTTTATTTATGTGCATATGTACGTAATAATCAATTCAATATTCTATAGTATAGAGATTAAAATTTTGCGAGCTAAAAACTCGGAAGGAGAAAATAGTCAAAGATTCAAAGCACAAATTTTTGATATAATGAAACTAGTTCATAGTTTTTCTCTTCTTACTTGTAAAATAAACATTTCTAAAATAAATGTTTTTTTTTATTTTTTTCCCGGTTTTTGTCTTTTTTTAGTGCCTTCTTGTGCCATTTTTGCGATTTCTAGTGCCTTTTCCTGCCTATTACGCTATTTCATTTTGCCTTTTCTAGCCTATTTCGTTTTTTTATTTTCCCTTTTTTATAGGTTTTTGGGTTCTAAAATCCGTTCCCTGGTAATAATGTTGTGTGCCTACTCCAAAAATAAATGGAATTAATGGGATTATTTTACCACATACCTCCCATGTAAACTTGACCTAAAAACTCCTTAAAATACCATAAATGCCATTATTATTATATGAGGTTACGTTAAAAATCGCAAATATGAGCCAATTATTAGTTGCTCATGTTCGCGCTTTCTAGTGAACTCGTTGCGCGCACAGGCGGTGAGCGTGCAGGTCCTCGACTTTAGTAGTAACGATTTTGAGTATTAGATTAAAAAAAAAATTATTTAAATTTGTTTAGTCTCTATAGAGGAACCAAAATTTATATATGATATCCATGACCGCGGCATTACCGATTGAAAGTATAAACAGAATGAAATCGCTCAGAGAAATTCGTCGGAAGAAAGTTCGCTGCCAAAATTAAAACACACTGCAGTATATGAGATTGCCCACAACTAAAGCGGCGACGAAGTTCGTCTGCCGAAATTCGGCAAGAATAAATTTATTTTTAATTTTGTCGCTGCCGCCGGTCACGAGTCAGACTACAACTGGGTATTCACGTCGATGGCGAAACAATACCGACGGTGAATAACCCCAAAATACTCTGAGTTACCTTCGACAGTCTGCTCTCCTTCGCGGCGCACACAACCGCAATTGTGAACAGTGTGCACAGCCGCAACAATGTCCTCAAGTGGCGGGCCGGCAGCAATTGGGATACATACATTTGTAATATGTATTGCAAAATTAATATATAATAAAAATAAAATTAAAGCTTAATATAAGTTAACCTGTTACAATTTTCTTTCTTAGCTATAAAATAGTTTATGTATAATTAACTAAGATAGCATAGGACATGCGAGGACATGCGTTC